GCGCCGCCTGGACACATTTAAGCGCGGCGCTGCCCGGGCACATTTAAGTGCGGCGCCGCCGGACACATTTTGCGCGGCGCGCCCGGACACATTGTACTTGTGGGGCTGTGGAGGTTGTGGGGACATCTGGAGAAGGTGCCGTAGGGTTTGGGAGCACCTACAGGGTTTGGGGTGGGATCTGTGGGGCTGGGGGGGGTCTCTATGGGCCGCCGGGTGGGTTTTGGGAGGGATGTGACCCCTATGGGGTGCCCCCCCCAGAGCCCCAACCCGCGGCTGACCTAGCATTTTAGCGTGGCCGCCGTTCCACCGGCAGCTCATGCCCGTCTTCTGCTCCCAGTGGCCCGCGGGGCGCCCGGTGGCCCTAACCGGCGTCACCAGCGGCCACCTTGGGGTCAACGGCGGCGGTTTTTGGGTCAACGGCAGCGGTTTTGGTGGTTTCGGTCTGGGGGGTGCTGACATGCCCCCCCCCGCACCCCCCCAGGCATCCTGGCCCTGCAGCTGCCCCCGGGGGGGCTCGACGCCGAGTCCTCCAGGTGAGAACCAGTCCCCTCCGCCCCCTAAATGCGCCCCCAGCCCCCAAATGCCCCCAGACCCCCCCCAAATTGACCCCCCCCCATTTTTCCCCCCCCCCAGCGCCTGCCTCCACCTGGCCGAGATGCAGCGTCGGGTGCGGGAGGCGCTGGCGGAGCGCGAGCGGCTGCTGCGGGCACGGTAGTGACGGCGGGGTACAAAATTGGGGGGGCACCAAGGGGGGGGGTCCATGGGGCTTGGGGGGACCCCAAGGGTTGGGGGGAACCAAAATGAGGGGAAAACCAAGTGTGCAGGGTGCGCTTGCCGGGGGGACACATTTGCGGGGCGCACCAGGGGAGGAACCCAAATGAAGGGAACCAAGTGTGCGGTGCGGTTGCCGGGGGGACGCATTTGCGGGGCGCACCGGGGGGAACCAAAATGAGGGGGAACCAAGTGTGGGGGTGCGGTTGCCGGTGGGACGCATTTGCGGGCGCACCGGGGGGGAACCAAAATGAGGGGGAACCAAGTGTGCGGTGCGCTTTCTGGGGAGACGCATTTGCGGGGCGCACCGGGGGGGTCCATGGGGCTTGGGTTAGGGTTAGGGTTAGGGTTAGGGGTAGGGTAGGTTAGGGTTAGGGTTAGGGGTAGGGTTAGGGTTAGGTCAGAGTCAGAGTCAGGGTAAGCGTAGTGAATCCTCTCCTGAGGCTATGTTATTTTCCAAGATTGATTGACGCTTTTAAGGTTTCAGGGGTAGGGCACTAGCGTTGGGTTTCAGCGTAAGTGTTCTCAGGGTTTATGTTTAGGATTTTTAAGTTGTTTTAGGTTTGGATTTTTAACGGTTAGTATTTTAGGGATTTGGGGTTAAGGTTTTAAGTTTTTCAGGGTTAGTGTGTTAGGGTTTTAGAGTTTATGGGTTGTAGTGTTGAAAGGTTTTTTAGGGTTAGGGTCTTAGGATTTTCTTTTTGGTCAATTATTTAGGGTTAGGGTTTTAAAATTTGAAAGTTTTATTTATTTATTTATTTATTTATTTATTCAGGTTAGGTTCTCCAGGGTTAGGGTTTTGAGTGTCCTAATTTTTTGGTTAGGGTTTGGAGCATCTTAATTTTTGCGTTAAGGGTTTTGAGCATCTAATATTTGTGTTAGTGCTTTGAGCGTCTTATTTTTTGGATTGTGTTTGGAGCGTTTTTGGGTTTAGGTTTTTGGGTTTTTAGGTTTTAGTTTTTGGTTTAGGTTTGAGATTCATGTTTTTTGGGCTTGGGATTTGAACGTCTTAATTTGTGGGCTTGGGATTTGAACGTCTTAATTTATTGGGTTAGGAGTTTTAGGCATAGGTCTTCAGGTGTTTAGTGTGGTAAATATTTTGGGTTATGTCTGTAGGGGTTTGCGAGGATTTTTAGGGTTAGGGCTTGAGGCTTTTTTTGTAAAGGCGTAAGGGCTAGGGTTACAGTGCGTGCTGGTAATGTAATTCTTGAAAACTCGGCCCGTGATTGGCTGTGCCGGCTGTCCAAGGAATGCTGGTAAATATAGTTTTCTGGCACCAGGGCTTCCGGAGGCCATGTTTGGTGCCCAGAGCATGCCTGGAAAATGCAGGGTTAGGGGTTAGGGTTAGGTGGTTTAGGGCACATTTTAGCAGCGACGCCGCCCGGACACATTTTAGCGCGGCGCCGCCTGGACACATTTAAGCGCGGGCGCCGCCCGGGCACATTTAAGTGCGGCGGCCGCCCGACACATTTTAGCGCGGCGCCGCCCGGACACATTGTACTTGTGGGGCTGGGAGGTTGTTGGGGAACATCTGGAGAAGGTGCCTGTAGGGTTTGGGGGAGCACCTTCAGGGTTTGGGGTGGGATCTGTGGGGCTGGGGGGGGGTCTCTATGGGGCCGGGGGGGTTTTGGGGGGGATGTGACCCTATGGGGGTGCCCCCCCCAGAGCCCCAACCCCGCGGCTGACCTAGCATTTTAGCGTGGCCGCCGTCCACCTGCAGCTTCATGCCCCGTCTTTCTGCTCCCAGTGGCCCGCGGGGCGCCCGGTGGCCCTACCGGCGTCACCAGCGGCCACCTTGGGGTCAACGGCGGCGGTTTTGGGGTCAACGGCAGCGGTTTTGGGGTTTCGGTCTGGGGGGTGCTGACATGCCCCCCCCCGCACCACCCCCAGGCATCCTGGGCCCTGCAGCTGCCCCCGGGGGGCTCGACGCCGAGTCCTCCAGGTGAGAACCAGTCCCCTCCGCCCCCTAAATGCGCCCCCAGCCCCCCAAATGCCCCCAGACCCCCCCCCAATTGACCCCCCCCAATTTATTCCCCCCCCCCCAGCGCCTGCCTCTACCTGGCCGAGATGCAGCGGCGGGTGCGGGAGGCTGCTGGCGGAGCGCGAGCGGCTGCTGCGGGCACGGGTAGGACGGCGGGGGGGTACAAAATTGGGGGGGGGCACCAAAGGGGGGGGGGGGGTCCATTGGGGCTTTGGGGGGACCCCAAGGGTTGGGGGGAACCAAAATGAGGGGGAAAACCAAGTGTGCAGGGGTGGTGCGCTTTCCGGGGGGGAGGGGACGCATTTGCGGGTGACGCACCAGGGGAGGATGCGGAGGAAACCCAAAATGAAGGGGGAAACCAAGTGTGCGGGGTGCGGCTGAGGGGGGACGCATTTGCGGGGCGCCCGGGGGAACCAAAATGAAGGGGGAACACAAGTGTGCGGGGTTGCGCTTGTGGGGAGACGCATTTGCGGGGCGGCACCGGGGCGGGGGCTACATGGGGGCTGGGGTAGGGTTTAGGGTAGGTAGGGTAGGGGTAGGGTTAGGGTTAGGGTAGGGTTATGGTTAGGGTAGGGTCAGAAGTCAGAAGTCAGGGTAAGCGAGTGAGATCCTCTCCTGAGCCTATGGTTATTTTCCAAAGATTGATTGACGCTTTTAAGGTTTCAGGGGTAGGGCACTAGCGTGGGGTTCAGCGTAAGTGTTCTCAGGGTTTATGTTTAGGATTTTAAGTTGTTTAGGTTTGGATTTTTAACGGTTAGTATTTAGGGATTTGGGGGTTAAGGTTTTAAGTTTTTCAGGGTTACTGTGTTAGGGTTTTAGAGTTTATGGGTTGTAGTGTTGAAAGGTTTTTTAGGGTTAGGGTCTTAGGATTTTCTTTTTGGTCAATTATTTAGGGTTAGGGTTTTAAAATTTTAGTTTTATTTATTTATTTATTTATTTATTTATTCAGGTTAGGTTCTCCAGGGTTAGGGTTTTGAGTGTCCTAATTTTTTGGGTTAGGGTTTGGAGCATCTTAATTTTTTGCGTTAGGGTTTTGAGCATCTTAATATTTTGTGTTAGTGCTTTGAGCGTCTTATTTTTTTGGATTAGTGTTTGGAGCGTTTTTGGGTTTAGGTTTTTGGGTTTTTAGGTTTTAGTTTTTGGGTTTAGGTTTGAGATTCATGTTTTTTGGGCTTGGGATTTGAACGTCTTAATTTTGTGGGCTGGGATTTGAACGTCTTAATTTATTGGGTTAGGAGTTTTAGGCATAGGTCTTCAGGTGTTTAGTGTGGTAAATATTTTGGGTTATGTCTGTAGGGGTTTTCGAGGATTTTTAGGGTTAGGGCTTGAGGCTTTTTTGTAAAGGCGGTAAGGGCTAGGGTTACAGTGCGTGCTGGTAAATGTAATTCTTGAAAACTCGGCCGTGATTGGCTGTGCCGGCTGTCCAAGGAATGCTGGTAAATATAGTTTTCTGGCACCAGGCTTCCGGGAGGCCATGTTGGGTGCCCAGAGCATGCCTGGAAATGCAGGGTTAGGGTTAGGGTTTAGGTTTAGGGCACATTTTAGCACGACGCCGCCCGGACACATTTTAGCGCGGCGCCGCCTGGACACATTTAAGCGCGGCGCCGCCCGGGCACATTTAAGTGCGGCGCCGCCCGGACACATTTTAGCGCGGCGCCGCCCGGACACATTGTACTTGTGGGCTGGGAGGTTGTGGGGAACATCTGGAGAAGGTGCCTGTAGGGTTTGGGGGAGCACCTGCAGGGTTTGGGGTGGGCTCTGTGGGGCTGGGGGGGGGTCTCTATGGGGCCGGGGGGGTTTTTGGGGGGGATGTGACCCTATGGGGTGCCCCCCCCAGAGCCCCAACCCGCGGCTGACCTAGCATTTTAGCGTGGCCGCCGTCCACCTGCAGCTTCATGCCCGTCTTCTGCTCCC